TGACACATTTTGGGGAAATTAAGTATGATTTTCAACGAAAAAATGTTTTTAAAATGTTGAAAATCTGCAAAAATCGCATTTGGGCAAAAAAGTCCGCCAGCGTCAACCTTTTGTATATTATTTGTGTCCATTCCGTCATTAGAGCCAAGTTTTCTAAAAAAAAAAAAAAGAGAGGGGAAAGTAAAAAGTATTTTATTGAACAACAAACCCTTTTATGAATCATAAAATATGTCTGCGAATAGTATTTGTCATAATCATCTGGAGGTAAAGAATTCATGAGATGTTTGACGTGCTTCTACCACCCATTGTGCTGTGTTTAAAACATCTGGGAATAACTTACATGTAATACCTAGTATGAAATGATTTTATGTCAAACAATTATCATATTTATAGTTTATTATATGTAGTTACTATATACATATAGTTAAACACCAAATGATTTTTGACATTCATTGGCTACAGCACATAACTTGAAGGAAATACAGAGAGAGAGAGAAAGGATTTTAAGAGAGAGTATATGAACTTATAGACAATCAAATACAACAACATGGAAGTCTTTAACGACTCTTCTTAAGTATACAGATATATGTTGTTAGTAAAGCCCAAAAAAAGGACAATTTTCAGAAGAAATATGTTGTGGAAACAGATTTACAACTACTTCACATGCATCATTTGATGGCCAAGGAACTCATTTCATCTCTCTTTCTATCTATAATCCCCTTTTCCCTTATTCTCTCTACCATTTCCTTTCTCCTTATTTGACTTCTTTATTTCAGTTTTTATCTGACTTTTCCTGAACATATAGTTAATATATATACTTGAGTATCTTAATGATGTTTTCCAAGTATAAATATGGCAGTCAAGTAAGCTTATATATGAACGCCAATCGCCTCTACCAGCATCTTTGAAAATTCAATCAAAGACTTCTAATAAAGCAATGAGCTTGCTTAGATGCTCATTTAACTTTATTTCTCATTTTCGACGTCGGACAGAAACAAATTGCCATTAAAATCAAAATTTGTTTGCATATCCTTAACCCAAAGCCGTCATATACTTTCATTTTTTCAATTCATTTCTTCACATGTGATGATGGTACGTCATTGGCAGCAGCCACACATCCATGTATGGGTGTGTTGATGCTATTGTTCATCTATTCAACAATCACACACACACACACACACATCTACACAGTCTTTGAATAGTGATAGGAATAGATTAATCTATGATTATCAGCAAGCAATCAGAAAGCCCTTATATCGTCTAACATCTATTACTATATAGCTATCCAGCTAGAGTTATCTGTCTAATTTAATAAAATATTTAGTTCCTTTTTACTCATTTATTACATAGCTACTACTCTCCTGCTGTGTATCTCTAACACCTGCTTAACAACAGATATCATAAGGATTATATATATATATAGAGAGAGAGCATAAGAGATATAAAAATCATTTTGTAATTTTTAATAATCACATATCAAACAGATTGTCTCAGACAGACATTCGCTATGTTAACAAGAGCACAGAAACAAAAGAGGTTTTTGCTATCTCTTATTCATGCAAACTTCTATACATTTATAATGCATTTTCAATGCATTACAGAAGGCTCACACATTTTATAGCCTTTATTCTAACTTTTCGAGACTGATTTATATCACGAAAAAATATTATTTCGTGTGCATAATTCTCAACATTCATATACTCTTACTCTCTCTCTCTCTCTCTCTCTCTCAATCAATCTCTTTCATAAGCTCTCTCAAGCATTCTTCGTCCCCCCACCCCTCCCTATCTCTTTCTCTCTCTCTTCACCTCTATCTCACTATCACTGCTTACTTTTGGAGGGGAGATATAAATATAATATTCTAAATCGAAACATTGGATGTATAGATTGAAAATTATTTTTATTTATTCCCTGCAGTTATCTATTTCTTCCTCTCTCCTTCCTCCTTCCTCCAATTCTCTCTCTCTATTAACCATATTCATACATACTTACCTCCTTTCATTGTTTTTGTTGACAATGGACTTTTGCAAAAAAAAAAAAAAGTTTTTTTTAAAGCCAAACTTCAATTAGTTATACTCAATCAATAAGTAATGAAGCTAACGCCTTTCATTCCAAAATAAAAGTATTTGATGAAACAAATAATATCTTTTTAGATATATTGCTATAGCATCCACACATCTACAGTTAGTATAGAGAGAGTAGGATAGAGAGAGAGAGAGAGAAGGGATGAGTTGAGAGAGAGAAAGAAAGAAAAACGGAATAACAAAACGATTTGCTAGACAGTTTATGATATACCATGTCTATCATCAACATCATCATTATCATCATTATCATAGATATCATCATGATAATGCTCATCTACAACCATCAACTACCATCTTCAATCTATCTAATTCATCCTACTCCTATTGATATTGTGTCAAAAAATTTATTCTATTTGAATATTTCTTTTTGAACTGCTTGAACAACAAAAAGAAAAATAAATAGTTCTCATGGGAACAAACTTTCCAGTGCTCATCCTCCACCCCACGCACACAAACACAATACTGAATATTGGCAACACAACAAGGTTTCTGACAGTTGTTTTTGAGACTCATACTTCCCAATTATCATTCACATATACATGTACATCCTCATTCTCTTTCATCTTATGCCTCTTCATCTCTCAAAAATCTTATAATAAAAGAAAAAATGAAGTACATATATCATGCATCTTCATCTTCAAACGATAAATCATTGATCTATTGCTTTAATTTGAATATTCAATAGTCTGTATATGGCATATACAAGTAAATCATTGACGACATTTACATTTTTATTCTAAAATCTCTTTCAATCATCCAGAATCATCTTAAATCCTTTCTCTCTCTCTATCTTCCTTTCTCTCTCTATGATTCTCGATCTCTTTGAAACATCTCTGAGCTGAGAGTGCATATTGTCTTTGAGTGAGAAGTATCGAGTTTGATAATGTTTTTCAACAGCTATTCTCAATATCCTACCATCTCTTATTTCTGCACTACGATCATCCAGCTAGTTTCTCCACAAACTTCATCTCTATCTTACATCTTCATTTTTTGATTATTTAAATATTCAAAACTTTTTGCCGCGGGGGGGGGGAGAGATAATGATTGTCCTCTCTAAGACCATTCTAGTATTCAAAAACTTTTTTTTGTTGGCCATATTGCATGTTTCAGACGACAAAAAGGTCTAACATCTTATTCCATCTTCTTAGTATTTATTTGAGCTTTTACTTAGTATTCTATTCATTCTTCAAAAACTCATCATGCCATATGTAAAATGCAGGAGAGATATCATTCATCGGTAATTTGCTCTCCTCCCTCCTCCCTCCCCTCTTTCTGCATTCCTCACAACTCCTTGTTTCATTCATTCTGTTTTAAAACATGAACGAATGTGATGATGGTCAGTCCAGTGTTAGTCTGAGTCTGCAGAGGCTGCCAGACAATCAGAAAAGCAGTCCATGTATTAGAATATGATAAACAAAATGAGTACGTCTAGCAGAGCCAGACAATTACTAAAAGAGTCAGCATAAATGTATTAGAGAGACTATTAAAACAAGAGACGCAGATGTGCAGACAGCTGCTGAGCAAAAAGAGCCATGTCGAAAACATATTAGGAGAGTCAGACGCGACAGAGAATGCGAATGTAAGAGTAACAAATAGCAATGACAAGCATTTGAGAGTTAAAAAAAGAAAGAGAGAGAGTGAGAAAGAGAGATAAGAAGAACGAAATGAGAGTTAAGAGGGTTAACAGAAAACAATATGAGACCAAAAAGAATTATTTGAGACTTTTAAAAAGAATGTTTGTAAACTTGATAACG